ACGACGTGTCTATCAAGTGGCGCGGATAAAAATGACACGGTCCGCTAACGCGCGTCAGATACGACCTAATAAGAAAGGGACACGTGGAGGAAACAGTTGAGGAGATTGTGCATGACAACTCATGCGCAGTTAGAACTCTTGAAATTCTAGAATAATGACGTTGTGATCTCGACCAGAGGGGCAGTTTCGGTTAAAATGCTTAAAGAAATTGATTCTTGGTTGAAGCCGACGAGTCATGATCGTTGGTAAAGTGGACAGTTGAGTCCTGGATATATGAAGTCGGCAAGTCATGATCTCGGTCGAAGAGAAGAGTGAATTTTAGTCGATATACTATATTGTCAAATGGTGTAGGTTCCATCACCTTAGATTGTCGAGGTAATAGAACCTAAGGGACAGTTGTGGGGAAGTATTTTACGAATGACAACACGTGGCTAAGGTGATACCAAAGTGTCAACTGAGGTGCCACGTGGCTTGGTCATGCTGTCGAGATGATCTCGGCTAGGCCGAGGTTATTTGCGGAGATGTCGGAATCCAGGATAAGCAGATAAGGGATAAGAGTCCTATAATAGGGAAAGATCTCAGTCTGGATAAAGATAAGGCTCAAGAAGAGTTTATCTCTATCTAGATGAGGGTCCAGGATGAACATTGAGCCTGAGTTCATTGACGTGAGACTTCTAAAGGGATCCGGTCACTGCTAGTTATAAAAGTAAGGCACCCTCGTGGGTCTGAAGTAAGTTCTTTCTTGTAAAAAGCACAATTTGCTATCTTTGAGAGATATTGATTACTGACTTGATTATCGGAGTGTCCCCCGGTAGACGAACCACCGCCAGATTCCCATCTTCTTGTGCAGGTTGTTAGGCTTAATCTATTCTACCAATACTCTTTAACTGAGTTTCCCGTTTAATTATGTGGTCAAAAATTTAACACCCACAATAATAATTTTAAATAGTTACGTTTAAATTTATAATATTACTGTGAAATTTTGCCTTCCGAACAAAAAAGTGGTCTGACCTCTCCTAATCACACTCATTCTCTGATCTCTCGCTTTTGGGGTGAGAATTTACAACATGCTACCATAATACGGTTCAAACCATACATAAAATTAGCAAGTTATGATTGATCATTTTCTAACACGAATATATATATGAGATAACTTGATAACACGAATATTAAACAAGTTGAGTTAGTGTCAAATTTACATATGATACAAAATTGACATGAATAATCTGTATAATGAAGAATTAATTATACATTTTAATATTATTTCTATTAAAAAGTATCATGACATTTTTTAACCTAACATAATTACATCAAGTTTATTAAAAAGTATATAAAATACGATTTTAAGTTTAATATAAGTTTTGTTTTTACTTTTAATTAAACATAATGTATTTTTTGTCTATTATTTGAATTAATCTACTAAAAAATATAATAATAAAATATAATTTTAATAAATTAAGAAAATAAAATTAAGCTAAAATTATATATTTTATAAATAATTTCATTTTGATAGGGGTTAGTTTCATTAAATTTAACTTGTAAATAAATTTTCAAATACTGTTCGTATATTTGATAATTTTAGTTAATAATGAAATTTTTTAACATGATACATTAGTACAATATGAACTAAATGCAAACTAAGCCTCCGTTTGGGAAGTGGATTGATTTTTTAGCTTTTTGGCTTTTTTGACTATTTTAGCTTGGGCTAAAAAGCTTGGTTTGGGAAGGACTTTTTGACTTTTTTAATTTTTTTTGTGAGAGAACAGTGTAATGATTATGGATTGAATGTGATGTTTTGTTTTTTGTAGCTAAAATAACCTATTGTCTCTTTTGTGATTAAAATAACCAAAAAGTCCCGAAAAACCTTTCCCAAACAGACCCTAAAAATAACACGATACGATAACACAAAATAATAAATAAATCGAGTTAGTATTAACGTTATTTTGACACTAACTCGAAATTATACAATACGAACAGACGTATCACGACACGATGTCCACCCTTTCATCTTCTCTTTCATTACACTATTTTCTCAAATCTCTCTTTTCTCTCATTTCTTCTCGCTCTAATTATTCTCGCCTACCCCTCTCTCTCTCGGTCTCTCTCGCATCAGTTTCTCGCATCAGTTTCTTTACAATCACAAGTCTCTCATTTCCTTTACAATTTCACCATCAATATGTCACAATGATCTAGGGTGACGTCTGTCCTTTCTGAGATTGTGCACACACGGTAATGGTGGAAAATCATAGCAAAAATGATGACATGAGTTCGATGAGGTTGAGATCATGGTGGTAACAACGGTGATGTCGCTAAGATCTATGCACCTCATTCATTCTTTGAAACCCCTCAGATCTCCCCCCTCCGATCCCTCACCGTTCTCCCTCCGTTGCTAAAAACCCTCTATTTTTGTCTTTTTTCATATTTATTTTGCTGAAGATGACTATATAACTTCATTACATCATCAACCGAAGCCCGACCGAAGTTTCTACCACCAGAAGTGAACAGTTTCGAAATGTTGGTCAATCGACATTGGATAAAATATTCTCTAAACCAAAATCGTCAGTTCGGATGCCGGTGGCCGGAAAAATCGAGCCGAACTGACCCATTTGTTTGTAATTTACCCTGTAGGAGCCGAACTGACCCATTTGTTTGTAATTTACCCTGTAGAGAAATTTAAAGCACTTCGAAATTAAAAAATGGACAAGGCTTGTGGTTGGGGCTCTAAGACTCACCACGGTCTTATTTTAATAATTTTAATTATTTAATATGTAAATTTTGTTGAGTATTTTATTTTTATAAAAAATTATATTTATATTACAAAAAAATAAATAATTATTTTTGAAATTATATTTATTATTCATTTTTTTAAAACAAATATTATTCATTTATATAATTATCGAGATCTAATTATATTAATTTTTTACATAAATATTCTATTTAATGAGTCTAAAAAAGTGAAAAGTTCAAATCATCATAATTAATTTTAAAATGAATTTACTAAATCTAAACGCTCTCTTAAGTTAAGATCCCAACTTAAGAAAAATCAAACCCTTAAAACATATATAAAAATTGTATTAAAATTATAAATATTTTATCATTTTATAATTCTTAAAAACAACCCAATAGCTTTATCAAACTGACCCACCATATATTATTCTTGACCAATGTTAGACCAGCATGCAAGTAAGAAAAGATTTGGACTTGAAATTTCTGTGAAGAAATTTTAGAAATGATCATATAGTTCAGATAATGCTATCATATATTTGTAATTTTACTTACCACAAATATTATAATTAAATTATTTTCATATATAGTTACTAGGACTCTTGCCCCTTATCTCGGATTCCGATATCTTCGGAGATGACCTCGGCTTCTCCGTGATTACCTCGGCTTAACTACCAAGGCACGTGGCACCTCGGCTGACACGTCGGCGTCACCATGCCACGTGTTGGTATACAGAAAATATATCCCCACAGTTACATATAAAAAATTATAATCAAATATCATGTATAATTAAAGATTTTTATGTCAAAATTAAAATAATATCATAATAAGTCATAACTAACACTATAAAAATCATATTAATACCACAATAAGTTATAACAAAAAAAAAAACAAGGCAAATATTGTAATTACAACATATGGTAGATATATCATAAAATTCTTTTATAGTTCAAATTAAACTTTTTTATTTTATTTTATTTGGTGAATAACAAATTAAACTCTTTGTTGTCGCCTATATGTAAAATGAAAGCCAGCCACACATCAATTTATTTTGGGCGTTCACAAGTTCAAATTTAAATTTTTTTTCTCTAAATATTTATATTTTAAAATATTCTGTCTATAAAAATAAATATTTTAAAATATTTTATCCATAAACATAAATTTCTATAAAATGACGAAACTACCAAATACATATGTGTGTTACGGTGAACCCCAAATTAAACCCACGAAACCTCTCTCTCTCTCTCTCCCCTCTCTCATTTCCGACGACACCACCACCACCGTCCTCCACCCCAACACCATTGTCCCGCCGACGCCATCTCCCTTGCCCCCTTTCCCCATCTTCTCTCTCAATCTTGTTGCACCAGAGCGTCTCTCATCGCACCAGAGCTCCTCATCTTCGTCGCCGATCGAGACCTCTGTCGCATCAGAGCTCCGACCGCTACACCGCTTGTCGCAACAGAGTTCCTCAACTCCGTCGCCAATCAAGACCTCCTCCGTCTTCTCTCTCTCTCCCCCTCTCTGTGTGATGATGATGACGACTCAGATCTGCAGATCTGAGCTCCGCCTCAGATGTTGTTGCCTACCGCTGTCCTCCGCCGCCTCAAATCCGATCTCCTCCCTGATGTCAGTCCAAAACCCTAACATCCTTCTCTCCCTCTCTCTCTCTCGCTATATATATATCTACAAGTTTGGGTCCGCATTGAAGCTCCGTTACTAAAGCTTCGAATAATGCACGTACATCTGCAAGTTTGCAAAGAAAGACATGAAACCATAGATCCGAGTCACAGATCGAAGTCATTCTCTATTTATTTTTTGTGTAAATTATAACTCAACTCCTGGTTTACCCAAATAGTTTCATTTGTACCACTTAACTTTCTATACTTCATACTAAAATATAATTTTGAACGGATGTAACAAAAATTGTAAAAAGTTTAAATTATTCTTATTTATTTCTTTAATTTTCTTCTTAATGTCATTACAAACCACCATTATAAACCATCAATCAACAAACTGAATTTATCATTAATAAGTTAACATGTAGACACATGAGGAGAAGTGTGTGAGTGATTTTTTGACCACACTGCCAACTTAGTATTCAACTGGAGAATACCGGAAGAATAGATTAAGCCCGAACGACCTGCAACAAAAAGAAGAGTTTCCAACGGTGGCTCGTCCACCCGGAAGCACTCTGACGATCAAGTCCGTACTCAATATCTGTCAAAGATAACCAATAGTGCTTAACTCACTAAACAAAATATCAAAAGCATAAAAGACATACCTTAGACCCATGGGGTGCCTCTCTTTTATAGCCAACACAATCCTAGTCCCAATAGGAGCCTAACTCTAATGGACTTAGGATTACTGCTAATCTTGGACTTCCAGTAGGATAAGGATAAATGCTCCAAAACTGAAGTCGTCTCCCATTCTAAGACTCTTGTCTCTTATCCGCTTATTTCGGATTCCGGTATTCTCTCAGATAACCTCGACCTAACAGAGATTACCTCGGCGTCATGACCAGGACACGTGGTACCTCGGCTGGTATTTCGGTGACACCTCGGTTACGTGTTGTCATTCAAAAATTATGTCCCCACAAGAAGGATAAATGGTGAACCCAAGCTTTGACTTCTCTATATATATATATATATCTTCTCTTTCACCGTGACCACCATCATCACCACCATTGCCTAGCTTCGTCAAAACCAAGAACCACCCTTTACAAAATGCTATAGATGAAGCAACAGAAGAGAGTGGATGATGGAAAAGAAATAAATAGATTTGGAGATGTTTCTTTAAAATGTGTAACGTTAGTTTTGGACAACTTTCGGTATGCTGAAACCACCCATTTTCAGGAAGAAGTGAGAAAACGAGGTAGCGTAGGATGAAGTATAAAGCAATGTGAGGAGATTGATGAAAGAACGGGATAAAACCGTTAAGAATCGCGAAAGTTATGGAGTCCGAAAGATAGGCCGAAGAAATGTCGAAAACGGGAAGAAAAAGTGGGTTTGGTTGGTATGAATACCATCAATGCTATTTCAAAAATTTAAATGTTTACACATATTTATTATTTGATTTCATGGGTTGGGTTTGTTACTAATTTGAATTATAAGAAGAAAAGTGGGCTTGGATAATTTTTAGAGAGAAAAGTTGTGGCGGTGATTTTGAGTGGTGGTTTAGCATGGAATAAGAAGTTGGTTGTGATTTTGCATGGAATATGATAGTGGTGATGTTGGTTGGTTGTAATTTTGCATGAAAGGTGATGGTGGTGAGATAAGAGGGGAAATAAAAGGTAATTGTGGTGGTTTTGCATGGAATGTAATGGGGTTGTATATTTATATAATGAGAGAGAGAGAGAGAACTTGAGGTAAATGAAACAAACAAAAGGATATTAATGCTTGAGGTAAATGAAACCCATACTCAAACACCGAATTTCATTTGGGGATAAAGATGTTAATGTTTCATAAGGGTGTTTTGGTCATTTGCCATATGTTTCTGGGCGGGAAAAACTGTTCCACTCACCATTCATGCTCGTGCAGCACACGTTCTGTTTAAACAAACAGTTTTGTCAAAAATTGTACTTTGGTATGAAGTATATGGGGTTTAAGTGTTACAAATGAAACTATAGGGGGACTCCGTATTTTTTAGGCAAACCACAAGGGGTTAAATTATAATTTACCCTTATTTTTTTAAAAAGTTATTGTTGTTGTTGATTACTATTATTGTTGTTGTTGTGACAGATTTGGATATGTAGAGATCTCATATCAGATCTTTATTTTTTTATTTTTAGTTGTTGATTATTGTTGTTGTTGTTGATGATAAAGAAACAAATTGCAACAGATAATCAAATTTGGTCAGATGTTTGAATAGATAAGGGAACAAAAAATTAAATAGATAATTAAAAAATTTGAACAGATAATAAATTTGGACAGATAAATTTTTATACCGGCAAATATTTAAACAGATAAGACAAATTTGAATTGAAAAGATTAAAAAATTAAACAGATAAGGTAAAAAAGTAAACAGATAATAAAAAATTTAAAGGGATAGGTAAAATTTTAAACAGATAGAAAAATTTTTTAACAGATAGTCAACAAATATCCATAGATAAGAAAAAAGTAACAGATAAATTAGAGGTAAAATTAAACACAAAATATCATTCAAAATAAACAACCAAACTATTTCATAAAAGATGGAATTGTTACTGACCAAAAAAAAAAAATCCACTAAATATAATGCACTAAGCCTAATGCTTTATACTTGTTTTGAGCAACAATCATAATGAATAGTTCTAATTTTAGAGTTATTAAGAGAGCTGTAAGAATGTGGCACCCAAAAAAAAAAATAGGCACACACGTCACATTATACGTGAGCCTCGTTCTGTACCATATCACTCTAACTCTTTTCAACAATTATCTTTTGAGTAGTTTTCTAAAAAAAACAAAATCATAGCAGAGTTGGTTATACCGTTACAGACAGCCGCAATCGCGAATCAAAAATTGGCGCTAACACTCTCATTCCGAAGATTCCAAAACAGAGGACTTGTTTGGTACGCCTCTCTCTCTCTCTCTCTCTCTCTCTCGATACCTTTTTGTTACAGCAAATATACAGAAGACGACGACAAAAAACGAATAATCGACATCGACAATGTCGACGTTGGTCCTGGAAATTACAGGATACGGACATCCAATTTTCCATTGTTGTGTATTCTTCGCTGGTGCTAGGCCTATGCCTCCTCCTCTGCACCAATCACCATCGTTGTCTTCACCTATGCTCTCGCTTCGTACCCATCGCTTTCCTAAATATAAGCATCTCTTCACCCAACCCTCCTATTCCATCGCATATCCCCTCTCAATTCCCTTAGTTTTCTTCATCATTCAAGGCCTAGATCAATCGAATCTCGAAACCCATCTTCCAAAATCATAAAAAATATTTCTTTGTTGTTCATTCCATTAGTGGAAAAAATGTTATGATTGGATTTTCTGATGCCCATAAAGTGTTTGATTTAATTCCCAAACTAGACTGCCCCGTTCTGTTTACTGACTTCGTGAGGATTAATAATGGAGAAGCCTTTGCGGTCCAGCAGAGCATCTCAGACTCAATCCTCGGGTACTAGGCAGAGGCGGAGCGGTTACGAGCCGTCAGACACGGAAACCGAATGGCTTGAAACTCCCTGGCATGATCTCAATCCGTTGAATGGAAATTTGGGTTCTGAAGTGCGTAATTTGACTTCAGATCAAGGAAGAAACAAAAGTCCTTACAAAATCAGCCGAAGACACTCCGCCAGGTTCCTAGATGAAGTTCCTTCTCTAAATAAACCTTCAAAACACAGTCCAGTTCGAAGGAGGCATAGCAAGTCCCCCTACAAACCGCGCAAAGATGATGGTACTGCTCTCTCACCTACACCAGTTTCTCATCTCCATAGGAATGTTAGCCCTATTTCGCCTAGACCTGTTTCAGATTCTCGAAAAAATGTTGGTCCCTTTGCGAATCCCGAGATTCACAGGCATATTTCTCCTTATAAACCTGCAAGAGAGGACCTTGATTTGGTCAACACCAAGACAGTGAACTCGAATAGGAAGCAAAATTACCGACAGATTAATAAAAATGTTGGTGCTGAGGAAAGAGGGGGGGTTTATCAAGTTAATGAAACAAGTAGGATGAGTGAGAAATCCATTCATAGCCGTAGATCAGTGACTGCTCCAAGAACCAGAATAAGAGAAATGGACCAACAGATTAGATATGGTCAAACAGAGCAAAATGGGGATACGATACCCTCCTCGTTGCCGAGGAATATGCCGCGGAAAGAGAGGGAAGGTTCTCATAAAAATACTCCTTCGGTTGGTGAACTCAATGAAATGGTTGCCAATGTGAAGATTTCTAGAGCTCCAGGAGCCGGTGATCCAAACTTCCAAAGCACGGATTCCATTTCACCAGGTGATATTTTCTTTTCTCACGACTATGGAGACTTGGCAAAGACAATGCAGAATATAATATTTCCGAAGAACGGTGGCATTGAAGGCAGATTTAGCCCAATGCCTCAAAAGTTTGCTGGAAGGGATTCTGCTCCTCATCAACGAAGCAAACCAAATAGCAATTTTGGTATTAGCTACCAGGGGAATTCATCGAGTACTGTTTTAACGCAAACGACTATGACCAACGGTTCTGCTATGAGCAGGCAGAGTAGTAATAAGATTAGCACCAATAGTAGTAAAGTAAGTGCCATTAGCGGGAGGACAAACGGAAGCGTTGGAAAATTTGTAGCCAACAGAAGGAAGAGCCAGACAGAAGCATGGTTTTCGTGCATAAAGAAGGGGCCTTGCAGGACCACAAAATCGCCTGAAAAAACTAGAGAATTCGATGAGGCTTCTTACATTGAGAAAGCATTTGTGGTTGAAAGCCTGAGACAGTTCTGGGCCGATAAGCATCAGCCTGCTTCACTTAATGGATTCATTTGCCACAAACAAGAAGTTCAAGTACTCAAGCAACTTGTAAGTGATGTCAATTCATGATAAAACTCATTCGCCTTGTTTGAGTTCTTTAGTAAGCAGAAATTTCCCATTTGTTTGTACTTTTTCTATATGATTTCTATTTCTATTGTTTCTTTAGGTATCTCATGAAATCTGTCCACACATTCTGCTCAAAGGACCTCCTGGCTCTGGTAAAAAAGCACTAACAATGGCTCTTCTGCATGAAATCTATGGAGACCCTGCTTGGAATGTATGCTCCTTTACCATTAGATGCAGTAATGTCGAAAAAAAAAAAAAAATCTCCTTCAAATTCATGTTTGAAGACTAACCACACTTTGCAAATTTTTTGCAGATATCTCATGATTTAAGATACTTCCATATTCAGGTATAGTGGATTCTGACACAGTTTTCACAATATGTATGTCCTGTTGACAAAATACCAAGAAGATGATATCATAAGAACATGTCCCTGAATTTACAAACCCGCATCCTTTCTCTGAAATTTTAATATAGTGATATAAACAATCATTGAGACTATATTTATGTATGGGACTAAGTGAATTATGATGATGTTTTCCTAAGTACTACACTGCTATCACTTTTAGTTGAGGTTGATTCAACTCAATGGGCATTTCCCAACAGTATAGGGTTAGCCATGTAATCCATTTTTGGCATTTTTATCGGACTGTACTGCATGTTTAATTAAATCATTGATGATGAAAAGTTTTCCTTTCTAACTTATGGGGACGTCTTTTGGGCTTTTACATCTGCCCCTGAAGGGTCAGGATGTATCACACGTGATCAAAAACAATTCTGCAACTTTTAGAGCCCTGTTAAACTTCCCTGAATCGTACTTGATTGTAATGCTAATGCATACCTCAATAGAGGACAATTGTTGGGGTTCCAAGTAGTACATACCTCAATAGAGGTGAATTGTGCACCAAGTCCAACAAGAGCAAAAGGTGTCTGACACACAGAAGAATAGTGAGGTGCCAACCGATTGTCGGATCCCAACATACATGTTGGTGCATTTTAAATGGAAAATTGTTTGAACAGTACTTAGTGACTTCTTTATCTGGATCATACTTGTCTTGTTCATTATTTCATCAAAGGTTTCTATTGAAGAAGATACAAGGACTTGCATTCTTTTCCTGAGACCTCTTTCACATTTTTGTTGATTTGTCAATCTCTCATCCATTTTCTGTGTGCTGTGTTTTCAAATCAGTTCTTAAGATATGTCTTACCAGAGTTCAGCTTTTGAACTAGCTAGGTGGAAGGAAAAAAAAAGGTGGTCTTATTTTATTTTTTTTCTGGGAAAAGAAATAAAAACCACTTGTTAATATCTAGTATTGCTTTGACTCTCAACAAGTTTGCTAATCATCTTCTGAAATATAGGCTTTTTTTTTTTGTGGATTTTGTTGTACTTGGGATAACATTGGAGTGCAAGAATGCCGAAGGGATAAAATACAATTGCCTTGCAATATGCCAAATAATGAAAAAGCATAGTACCGGAGGTTGTTTTAAATTTATACGAGCACCAGATGTCAAACTCTCAATGAATTGACCCCTTATTATATGCCTTAACCCAGTATGAGAGTTCCTTTCATTTTACTGACAGGAATCAAGACCGGTGCAAGTAATCGTTCCTGTAACCTCCAGTGCTCACCATGTGGAGCTGAATGTATACTTGGAACCTAATGCTAGATATGCACTAATGGCTTTGGTAAAACAAATAAGCAGCATTTATACTATTGCCCCTGAAATCAGCACTGTGAATTTCAAAACAGATTATAAAGGTCCTCTCCTATTAGCAAACATATTTTCCTCGAAAACAGTGTCACCCAGATCATATGAAGCTTACAAGATTTAGTTTGGTTGCTTACAGTTATGGTTCTTTATGACGTTGACAAAGCTTCTGAGAACATTCAGCACTTGATAAAATGGATCATGGACTGTTACACAGATTCTTGTAAACTCGTACTCTGCTGTGAAGATGATGTGGACATTCTTGAACATGTTAAAAATTGCTGCAAAGTTATTGAGGTTGATGCTCCTGTGACTCATGAAGTAAGTATGCTCATTGATATTGAATAGTAGTTGCTTCTTGGTTGCATTTTATGACACTCCTTACATTATACTATTATCCTCTTCTCTCTTTATGGTGTGCATGGTTGATGGCCATAGGAACACTTCATATCACTTTGAAAGAAAATGGCTAATCGACAATTCAATGTTTCCTATGTAATAAAAAATGGGAATTAAATGAATCCAACACGTAGACACAGACCAGCAATCTGCACACAATATTATAAACATAGTTGATAATCTCTAGAAAAACTATTCTAGGGAAAAATTTTGGTGAGTTAATTTGGGAAGCCGTGAAGAATCAATTGATGTTTTCAGAAGATTTTAATCTCATTTCTTATGGGTTCCTAACATGGTTGGGATTGGTATCTTGATTCTTTTAATCAAAAATATTTCATAGAATTGTTAACAGGAATCCAAATACTACAAATATAGAAATATTGAGGGATTTTGTTGGTCTTTAGGTCCATTCACTATGTGCAGTGTACGCAGTCTGGTGGGGAATCTTCTGGGGCTAAAATCTCATATTGTACCCTGAATTTTCTTTGACTCTTCTCCCCCACAATTTTGTAGATCATGGAGGTTCTTATTCAGATAGCAAGGAAGGAAGACTTTGATCTACCAATGAGTTTTGCTGCTAAGATTGCTACAAAGTCGAAGCAAAACCTTAGGAAAGCAATTATGGCTCTTGAAGCATGCAAAGCACACAAGTAGGATCTTGAACAATAGATCTGCTGCCTTTGTATATTTTACACATATTTTTCCACTCACTAGTTTAATATGCCCATACAGCTATCCTTTTGTTGACGACCAACCAATTCCACTGGGTTGGGAAGAGGTCCTAGATGAACTTGCTGCCGAAATTCTTTCTGATCCATCACATAAGAGGTAAACCTCTAGCCTGAATTTTCTTTTCTTTTTTTTCATGACTGCCTTTGGCTTGTGTGAACAAAAGGTTTGGGCTTGTTATGCAGGGTTTGTGGGATTTTTTTTCAAACCATAAATTTGGACATGAGAAATTCACTTGGGGGGAAATAGGGGGGAGAAAGAAAAAAAAAAACAGAAGAAGAATTTCATTTATTACAATTTGACATTCTTGAAATGCTTGTAATGAAATGAGGATTACCAGTACACATTTATGCTTCTTCAGATTATTTTATATACGGGGAAAGTTTCAAAAGCTTCTTGTGGATTTTGTTCACCCCAAGCTGATTCTGCAGGTACTGTGTCTGACACTTTGGTTAAAATGACTTCATTCAAGATGATAAATCTCTTTGCTGACATGCCATCTATAATGTCAATAGGCCATTCAATCCAAAATTGCCCTTAATAAATAGACATATTTATTTATTTTAACATAATTGTCTTTCCAACATGCAGAAGCTCGTTGAACAGTTTCTTAAGGGAGTTGACGCTGGTTTGAAAAGAGAACTTTATTATTGGCATGGTTATTATGTAAGTTCTGTCCTCCTTTATCTGAATTATGTTGTCTTTTAGACAAAGAAAAAACTAACTCAAGCTCCATCTACAGGATAAGAGACTCCCAGTGGGAACAAGCGCCTTGCTAAAATTAGAAGGTATCATAAGAAACAACTCAAATATTATAATTTATCAATGTACATACACAATCACACAACATTTGAAGATAAACCATAGTTCATTGATAGTTATGGCTGACTTCATGGGAATGTGAACATTGTATGCCAAACAAAGCCCAAAATTTATTTTTTTTTGCAACTCTTTTTGCTTGTATCAAGTTATAGACTTATTGTGATTTGTGATGAAGTTCATGTTTAGTGCTAACAAGTTACAAATTTGATAATCACACGATGAGATAGAGCAGTTTCACATAGTTTTAAAATGAGAGTTTTTTAATCACCGATTTTGTTTTCCTTTTTGGATTTATTTATTTATTTTTCGTATGAGAGATACGTCACTTCATTAACACAACATACAGTAGTGCACTTGCTAGCTTTGAAATGGTTCATTGATTTGTCTTGCATTGATACAGAATTTGTTGCCAAGTTCATGGGCCTGCATAGAAAGAGTTCCAGCAAACCACAGTACTACTCATAGTTTGCAAAGATATATCCGGTTGAAGATAGCAGTGAGTTTCGTTCATGAAAATGTCACTATGGCTGTTGTTTGATATTAAAAAGAACTCAAAAAGGAATGATATGCTATCATATTATTTGCCCAAGTCTGCCGTTGAACAGTTTGGTAGAAGAAATTATGGAAAATACAAAACTGTGAAGTGCTTTACTCTGTTAAAGTTCCCCCATTGTACAGCAGCAGAAATGCCTCAACAAGAAGAATGCCAGCTTTCCAACCCTTTTTTTTTTTTACCTGCCATCAACTACTTGTACTACATTAGTTAGTCCCAATCTGGTGTAACCCATGTTGGATCCAATGCGTGCTAAGACTCTCTGTTAATCTCAACCTTTTGAGTACATTATTTGTGTTCAAAGTTTCACACCCTCTCAAATAAAACACCAACCTGCTATACTTACAATTGTGTCCTTAAAATTAATGTACTATGGTTGTATTAGTAGTGATGAGGTGGGATGGGGGTGGTTGTGATGGCTGTAGGGCAGAGGTGGTGGGGTGGTGGTGGCAGTGCAGTAGGATGGTGGTGGAGTCGTGGCGGCAGTAATTGCAATGGTGTGATGATTGTATTAGTAGCTGCAACGCTTTTCTACCTTTTAAAATTGAAATATTTTCTGTTGATTAAAATTAAAATATTTTCCATTGATGGGGCATAGATCAAGAAGAACATTTTCCATTAAGACTTGTACCAAACGTCAAAAAATGTGGGAAAAAAAAAATCAATTTTTTTTTTTTTTTTTCTGTCTAAACAAAAGAAGAGTTATATGCATGAAAAATCTCAAGTTCTGAATCTCAAAGGTGCAAGAAACTTAAAATGGTTATAAGAACCATTCACTATTTGATACAGTGAAAGTCGTGGTGCGGAAAACCAGAAACTAGTTATTAATGTCGAGTTCACAACAGATACTTTTCCATCATAGTTGTGTAAAAATTAGTTAGAGAGTAGAAAATCAACTTCAACCTTAGTCCTGCTGTGATATCTGGGTGACTGGCAAGCAATATTTTTGCATTGTCATATCTAGAAAATTCATACTACATCTATTCTGCTAAACCTTACGAGAAGCGTGGACACGAGTGACTTCCTGTTAGTCATATATGTAGAGCATGTAGTTAGCAAAATCTCAAACCATAATTTTAAAAAATAAAATTAAAAATAAAATAAAAATTGAGAGTTTCTTCTTTTCTTCAGGGCTGCTCGGAATATGGATGTGCAACTTTAGTCTCTAGGTGAACTGCTGCTGCTTCGAGAAAAACTCTTGCCGGTGTAACTCTGTCACATTCGAAGGAAGAATATATCTTTGTTACAATAACTTGAAAGAGATTATATAAAATGAAAAAAAAAAATAGAGCAGTGGCAGGCATGACCGATAAACAAATAACATTGACCCAATAATCACTCACCCGCTTTCCAATATCAAACGGGATGTATTTGTACTTAATCATGTGTAGAATTTGACGCTTCATTGTGAGCACAAACAGAACAATCCAGTAACATAACAGTATGGGCCAGAAAACAGGTACATCTAGCACAGAGATGAAGGTCAAAACAAATGCCACAACAAAAGCCTTAGTGATGGAATACCTGAAAAATTGGAACACAGAGATGTATTTATCCAGTCTAATTCAGCAAATCAGAATGCTTCACATTGTCAAATAAGTTTCCAATATAAAAATAAATAAGTGACGGATGATATCAAGCAGCAGTTATTTCTCCCAATATCATTCCAAATGGAAGGTATAACAGAGAGCTTAACTAGAAGGGCCATTAAGTTTAATTGAACCAATCCCGAACAGAATTATTGCTATTAGTGTAGAGTCAATGCATTCATAATAGACTCCATAAATCAGATGAACAAGCAACATGGTCGTGTTTATCATGAATCTGCCCATTTCCCCTACCAGGACAGAAAGAAATCCTTAACATGCACCATGACATGACAACAATGGCAGCTCATGAGATAACAACCACATTTAAATTTTAAAGTGATGAATCCTTCCCATCTAATCAGGGTCAGGTTGCTCCAAATCAATAAATACCCATTTTACTTAAAAATTACAAAAAAGAAAACGAAAAAAAGGTAATGATTATCATCAGTTTACACTATTGAAAATAGTAACTGTAAAATCAATAAATACCCATTTTACTTAAAAGTACCCAAACAAACCCAACAGGTAATAATCATCATCAAGTAATGATCCACATCTATGAAGCATGGACACGGCAAAATCAGTGCCGTGGCGGTGTCGGACACAGGGACACACCGGCGACACATACTGAACATGCCATCTGTCGTGTCCCTTTAATTTAATTTTTTTTTTGTAGGGGACACGTCCAGGACACGCGTGTCCAGATCTGGACACAGCATGAGACACGGCGAGGAGAGAGAGACAAAGGAGAGAGAGTGTGAAGAAAGAGAGTGAAGAGACACTGGACACGACATGAGACATGGCGAGGAGAGAGAGTGTGAAGGAAGAGAGTGAAGAGACAAACCTGTCGCACGATCGAAGACATCTAGTTGATCGATCGAACATCTAGTTGCCGTATCGACATCTAGTCGTCGACAATCTGCATCCCTTCGACTTCAAGACTTCCACCGTAAGCATCTCCCTCTCTCTCTCGCCTTCTCTCTCGCTCGCGTCTCTGTCTCTCTCGCCGACTCTGTCCCTCTTGCCTTCTTTCTTATCTTATATATATATATATATATATGTATGATTAGTATATATAAGATAATATTAATAAGATAATATTATTTTATAAGTATATATAACATATTATATACTATTTATACATATTAATAAAAAAACACATGTATATAAAATAAAATAAAAAATTATCAGAAACACATTATTTAAAAAATATAATAAATAAATAAAATAATTAACATATATTAAAATAAAAATATTTATAAAAATAAAAATAAAAAAATTGCCCTGCCGTGTCCGTGTCCTCATTTTTTTAAAATTGTAGTGTCCCGTATCCGTGTCCGTATCCGTATCTGTGTCCGTGCTTCACAGATCCACATAGAAACTAAACACAGTTTTTCTTCTCATCAAACTACTGCCCAAGTGTCTGCTTCTAAACCACCTTTTTTTTTATTAAAAAAAAAAATTGAAAGTCTACTCTTATTGTGTTAAGCTTACTATCATGATTTTTATACCCACTTGCCTAAGAGTTCCTATCAACCCTGTGCCCTTTGAACACCTACTAAATCAACATGAATTGCAACCAACAATATAATGAAACCCGGATTACTAGATCAAGTGTACCAAAATATCAGCTTAATTAGATGGATTTAAAAATCAAATTTGCATCATGCATTGCCCAAAAAATTTAATAAGAAATAAAATGGATAGAAGTATCAACTAAAATTGACCTGTCATACACTTGATCCACCAAGCAAGATTATGGATTCATTACAAAGTTAATCTGATTCATTTATAAATATGTACATACAACCATACATGCGTACAACATGTATGCACAAGTGCACATGCATTCATAACTATAAACATAAACATCCATGTCCACATACGCATTCATGTAAAGCATTTTTAAATGCATTATCTCCATTTCCTCCTCTCTATCCTTCAACTTTAAGCCACAAACTTCACGACGACGTACATTTAGCATATTACAGACTAGCTTACAAAAGAAAACCCATAAGAGTCTTGAACAAACACCAATAGATGGTGTGGTGATCCAGGCTTAAGTAATTAATCTTTCACCATGTCATATTATTGCACTATTATTATGCTTTATATATACTTAGGAAAGTATACAAGGTCATTAAGAGTCCAGCATTCTTTGCTGCAGGCTAGAAAGCTATTCTTCTTATCAAAGATATGCTGCATATGCAACGTAAGAAGTCCTGGTCAAGCACACCAGGATGAGATGGAATCAATGGATCAGAAAAGAGACCAATTCCAATTAAATACAGCCAGGATAACTATTCTATATATCAAATTGTCAAACAAGCCTACCGTGAAAACCACTGCAAAAGCATGAGGATTAAAACCATTCCTAACAAAATGAGGGTGATGAATACTTTTCAACTCAACTTTCCAGCGTCTGGTGGGTTAATTTGATATGGTTACTCATCCACTACATTCATTCAAAAGAAACCAGTAGCATCATATTTTGCAGAACTTAAGTGGGCTAAATATAACTGAACGAGAAAAGAAGGGAAAGAAAGAATAAATCAAACACTACATGCACAAAGAGTGTTAGATTTCTGATGTTGTAGTAGAAGTATTGACATCAAATTTCGTGAAATACTCAGTTGGAGGTAGTAAATGATTCCTCCAATACGATAGATTAAGATTCTGCATCAATTTGAATATTGATGTCCTCAATAATTCTTACATGGGCTTGTAAAACTCCCTAATTTCAAAAGGAAACAAATGTAATGTCACTTGAGAATCCTTCAACACCATTTTTGGTTAAAGCACACAAGCCATGACAGAAGGAAATCCCTTCCTCCCCAACAAATATCTTTAAACTCATACAGAAACCAATCGCCACCCCGTGAGTATGAGAGAAGGCATAATCAAACAATAACTTATTAAGAATCCCTGGAATACATTGTTTACATAATTTTACAAAAATATCACAGGAACCCTTTCCAGACAAGCTAATTGTGCACATTACATTCTACCAATTTTTCAAGTAGGCCTAGTAGGTACTCTAATAATGTTTCTGAATATGATAGTCAACATGCTACTCTATTGAGAACATATGGAGAAAATGGAGCTACTACTACCATAACAAAACGTGCAGAGGCCATTTGTAGTTAACAGAAAGAACTGTTGGGAAATGTGTTTAGCCCATCAAGAGCCCAGAAACACAAATTTTAAATAACATGAACCATCCATAACGATTGAAGCAAAGGGCAAAGAGCTTATTACCAAAACCTAAACTCGGGGAGGCGGCGAATGAATGGCTTGAATTCATCAGAGTCTTTAGTGGGCAAAGAAGCCCCATCCATAGATTCAAGCTCGGGGTCAATCTTGGGTGACAGAAACCCAATCAAGAGGTTCAACACGTAAATCCCAAGGCCGTAGGACACAACATAGAAACCTTGAACATAATACACCCGCAACACGTAAAACAAAGCCACCCCCAATGTCCCCATCCACCTTTGGGGTGTATGAGGGGTAGAACGATCCAGATAGTACTGAAATGCAATTGAAAAATCATTTCTCCACTTCGTCAGCGGCGTTACTGTACCATCGCCTCCTGTTCCTTCCATATTATACTCCTACAATTCACTCTGTTAAGTGCCATTACAAACAGAGACACGTAAAGACATATTGCATTATTAGCATTAAAGAACACGAAATTGGTGAAAACTAGGGCACAATACAACAAAAGATTAAACTCTTTATTCGCTCGATATTAATGATCACTGTCAATAATGAAAATGCAGGTATTCAATGCAATAAAATTGTAAAAACGAACCCTAAATTAGAAAAAAAATAAATAATAGATAACATGATTAAGAATTTGATTGGAATTTTTGTAAGAAATGATAAAAATGTGGGCGCTTAAATGCGTGATTACACAATAGTGATAGATGTTCATGGAAATAAGGGTTTTGAATCAAGAATAAAAAATAAGAAGAGAGAGAGAGAGAGAGAGTGTGTGCGTGTGTGTACCTACAGGGTGTGGTGGTGCTGATCTTTGAGAGACGTCGGTGGTTAGGGTTTCTACGACGGCGTAGCGAAAAAGTGAGGCGGTGAATGCAGAACTCTGGTCATTTTAGGGTTTCGTTGTTTCTCATCATCAACTCTCAAAAGAGGTTTTTTTTTTTTTCTTCTTGCAGAGAGAAAGAGAGAGAGAGACAGGCTCTGGATAATCGCGCGAACGGTTAGGTGTCTTTTAGCGCAAGAAAAAAGGGAAATTGGAATATTTCACTGTTTGGAAGGAGAAAATTGGATTATTAATTTTTAATTTTTAACAAAAACCAAAAAAAAAACTATTAAAACATTATTTATTTGGAAAAAGTACCATTAAATCCCAAATCAATGTATTTTGAATCATTTAATCCTGCCTTATATTTTGTAGATTAAGAAGTTCCATTTCAAAGTTAAAGTCATTTCAACCCCATGATTTTAGCGTGTGAGTTGCAAAATGTAAGGGTAAATGTGTGTTTTTGAGATGTTGAATTTACCAAATTGGCCAATATCGTACTATAGTGGTTTTTGGTAGGAATCAAAATGAAAAATTCGAAGATGGAAAGTTCTCGAAATTGATTCCAATGTTACAGCAACCATACTCACCATATTTCTTTGAGTATTTGTTTTTGGTAATGTTGGTAACCCACTCGTCATTCCAAAATTGACATTCAATTCCACTCCCAAACCCTATAAAGTAGAAAAACCCATTTTGATAGTACATTTTGGTCATCGAATCAGAGCAATGAGTGAGTCATTTTGTCCTGTCATTGACGATAAAGACGGCAGCGTTTCTAGCATCGGCATCAGGATTTGTTGTGTATATCCATGGTGATAGGTATGTATGTCATGATGTTAATTTTTGTGTGTGTGTGACTGTACGAATATGTGGATAACTTTTGATTCCATTGCCTATTTTTGCTGAGATTCGGGTTTGTCGTAATATTAGAGCATCGATTGCATGTTGGTGTGTTAATGGCAAGGTGGGAATCGATTTTATTGAGGATATGGTCTGTGGTGTTAGTAGTGTTGTAGTGTCACTGGGTGTATTAGTGTGAGTTATCGATTGGGGATAATCTACATTTGGGGTAGTTCAAACGTAGTGTTTGTGATGTTTGAGTTAGTTGCCTTGGTTTTATTGGTTATGTTCAAATATGGTTTAGAGTCCCCTAGTTTTGAAGGTGTTTAGTTGGTTGCTTTGTTATTGTTGTTAATGACATTGGTAGTTTGTTATGTGGGATGTTAGTTGACACACATGAAAGAGAAACGTTGTGAAAGTAATTTTGCGTCGTTTGTGTTCAGTGTGATCAAGTTGGTTATGTTGTAATATGCTTTAGGGACCCTTGTTTTTGGAGGGCATTTATTTGCGTTTGTTATTAATGTCGATGACACTGATAGTAGTTTACAATTGAATGTTAATTGTTGTGCATGTTCGTCACTTGTTTAAAATGTAAAGTTACGTCGTTTGTCGAGGTATTTGGGGGTGACTGTTGTTGTGATTGTACTTGTGTGGAGTTGAGTACAATGTTCAATGTCAATTTGTGAGTTGGTTGTGTTGGCTTGGTGTATTATGGTTGGGCAAATAATTGTAAAATGTTGTTGTTGTTGTTACGTCGACGTGATATTTTGGGAGTGTCCTAAAAGTGGGTAAGTGTATGAAAAGTACTATACATTGTGAAATTGTAATGGTTTCTATTTTTCCATTTGACAACGAGTGGACACATTACATAAACGCTTGTGTGATTGTGTTGATGATGTTTATTGATTTGCAGTTCTACTGCGTGTTAAACCGCTAATGTAAATGTAACTATCATTATCTAGAAATGATGGGTGGTGGACCACGATACCAGCTTTGTGAGTCTAAGGTTGCCTGCTAACAATGTGAAAATTCAGGATTTTGACGGCCTGCTTGTTTCGGTCATGGACTGCCTCGAGTCTGGATATGTAAGTGGGTTTGATGTTGTTTTTTGTAGGTTTTGTTATTCTTGAAATGTAATGGGGTTGACATGGTTATTGTGCTGTAACGTTACAAGTCAAACAATGCGATATTCGTATGTTTCATCATTCGGCAATATGTGCACGGAGTCGAGATTGACAACACAATGGACGGATTGACGCCATCCATTCTACGTGCAGCGATGGTGAAAATGTTCCTGAATGACCTGATGAAAGGATTGTGTGCGAGGACGGCTTAATATCTATGTCTTTCACATCCCACACACCTTCCAAATTATACATGAATTTGTTTTTGTGAACTTTGTAGGTTTTTTGTGTTGGACAATCTTCATTATATTCTGATTAAATTATGTTTGTGTACTTAACAACAAACAGAAGAAATAAAGAAAAATGAGAGAAATTATTTGATTACAAAAATCAAACTAGAATATAAAATAAATAAATAAAAACAAATTTTTATTTTGTTACAAAAACAAAATCAAAATCTGAAACGAGAAAATAATAAAACAAAAAATAAATTAATTACTTACCAAATTAATTTCTTGAACAAATTTTTGATTAAGTCCAGTGTTTAACACTGTATCCTTATTACAGATTCGTCCTCTCCACAGTACTTTCAGATTGTGAACGCCTATCTTCGAGGATAAATTGATCAACAACGAATAATTGCAGTACTACAAATTATTCGCACAACGAACACACTTTGTGTATACACTCTTTCTCATAAAAATTTAATGTAGCAAAATACAAAGATTTATTGCAGCAGAGAAGAACGAAAATTGTGAATGAAAAATCCAAATGAGGGCATGTCTTATTTATAGATGATTTTGTGGCTGTACATATTTGAATGAACATGTATGGTACCTATTCGGACAGATCTGGTTCGATTTTCAAACAGATAAAACTGTTTTGGGTTTGAATAGATTCGGATCTGTTAGACAGATATGAAACTGTACATTGGACAGATTTGAATTTAAACTGTACAGAATTTGAATTGGACAGATTTGAATTTAAATTGTACAAAATTGAAGAGGTGCAAACAAATTTGAATTCAAAAATTAAATATAGATTTTATTTTACCAAAAAATAAAATTAAATTCAAATGTTTTTTGCCTAAAAAGATAGGTATTTGGCTGGACAAGCCCAACCCAACCTCACACCACGCACCTGCGCCCAAACCTAGACAGCCCGACCAACCAGACGGACGGTGGCTACGACATGCACGTGTGTTCTTATTTTTAGGTCTAATGGGTCTAGCCCAATTTACCCATAATCTCTCCCTTCTACAAACTTGGGATGCCCCTTGGGGCCCTCCCTAAGTTACAAACTCATGCCTTATAAACCCAGTCAAAGTTTGCCCACCAAATCAATGTGGGACAAGCCTTAAACCAAACATTTAGGAAATTTCACCAAAAACACCATTTTCATGGAGCTATATTTGGCTTCAATTTCCCATTCACCCGATAATGGTTTTGAGCAACCAAATATATCACGTGAATCACAACGCAGCATAGAACACGTTGCCACTTAGACCCGCCAACTTTGGCGTATGGGTCCCACCTAAAACATAGATCAAAGTTACGAAAAAATCATATTTTCCAAAATCATTTCTAATAATCCTCCACATGAATGGAATTTGATGACAACAGAAATGCAACAATATGCAGACTTTTTCGAAAGAGTATAAATCGAAAATATCTTGCATCAAGATAGGTAGCTTTCGGCCTTGAACCTTTCCTAGTGATAACCTATTAAACTTACTAACTAACCAATGAACGCGATGCCTTGAATTGTTCAGCCGTTTGTGTAAGCCAAGACAATAGATTTCACACAAAATATCTTCTGACACATCGTGGTTCTCACGGTTGTGTTCATTTTGGTCTTGAACGCTCATGGTTATTCATGAGTGCTTCTAGAAAATTTAGCGTCTTTATTCTCATAAAATCGGCTCCAGTTCGACACTCATATGGGTAATTCTTATTGTGAGTATCTCCTGTACTCGTCTTGATTTTATGCCTAAATCAAGATATAAGTAATCATTAAAAGCAAAGCTTATCCTTAAACCCCTGCATACAACATATGTTGCAGATATCACTCTCACCATAGGAATGGGTAGGGAATTTTAATCCATTGGTGATTTCTAGCGAGCCACACATAACTTAGTTGTCCCTTTGAACTTAGTTCTTAGGATCTCCAGTTATTTAAGTAGGGTTACCATTATGATGACTCTTAAGTAATAGGCTTTAATCACATCCCCTTTGATGAACTATACACTTGCTCTTTTGTCAAACTTTTTGTTAACGGATCCGCAATATTCTCTTTAGATTTTTATATAATTTATTGAGATTATTCCATTTGAGAGAAATTGTCTTACGGTATTATGTTGACGACGAATATGTCGTGACTTATCATTATACATATGATTCGGTGCCCTACCTATTGCAGATTGACTATCAAAATGAATGCAAATAGCTGGCACAGGTTTTGGCCACATTGGAATGTCTTCTGAGAAGTGACGAAGCCATTCTGCTTCTTCTCATGCTTTGTCTAAAGCAATGAACTCAGATTCCATTATGGATCGTGCAATGTATGTTTGTTTCCTGGATTTTCAAGAAATAGCAGCACCTCCCAGAGCAAAGACATATCCACTAATGAATTTTGAATTTTTAGTATCCGATATCCAATTGGCATCACAAAAACCTTCGAGTACTACTGGATATCGAGTAAAGTTCAAACCATGATCACAAGTAAACCTTAGATATCTAAGAACCCGAATGATTGCTTTCCAATGGTTTTCTCTAGGGTTACTAGTGTACCTACTCAATTTACTGACAGTATAAGCTATATCAGAATGAGTACAATCCATTAGGTACATTAGGCTTCCAATGATTTGGGAGTATTTTAACTAAGACACCACATCACCTTTATTTTTCGATAAATAAAGACTGATAGCTACAGGTGTTCTAGCTTCATTCATATCATCCTTGATAAATTTACCAAGAATTTTCTCAATATAATGTGATTGAGATAATGCATATCCGTCAGATGTTTTAGTAATTTTCATTCCTAATATTACATCTGGTGCGTGAGTTTGAGGATGTATTTCAGGAGATACCTGGACCTCCACCTCGACGGGTAGTAGAATTTCACATTGACCTAGTGCTAGGAACTATACCAATTTCTAAGGCAGTATACAGAATGGCGCCTAAAGAGC